GAACGTCTCATCAACAGTAGCCGAGGCAAAAACACCCGACGGCATCTGATTGTCTGCAGCCATGCCACTAGCATCATGGACGTTCTTAACAATTTGATCACTGTCGCTGCCGACTACCCCAACCGTCTTTCCATACCGATAGGAGTCGATGAGGAGCTGAAACGGCCTTCCGGGGGGGTACAGAACAGATTTGGGGCTAGGCAAGCCTTCCAGGACAACCATAGCGTCGTAAAGGGATGCGTCTGCACTGGTATATGTCGTCTCGATACCAAGTTTGGGATTGTAGGTAGGCGCGATTATAAGGACATCGATGCCAGAATGAAATTTTTTAAACAAGGCTTGTAGCTGACGTGCTGCGTCGAGAGACTTCGGTTCACCGTTTATGAGAACAGCGACTTGCATGCCGTCCAATTTATTCAAATTGGAGCCAAACGTTCCGAGTCGTGTAGTCTTCTTGTCGTGGTAGAAGGTTGGATCGGGTTTCGGTATTTCAATGCCAATGAACTTCGCAACTTTCACGGCTAGGTCGTGATCGATGAGGTTTAGGTGGAAGACGACATTTTTGCGCACGCCTTCGCTCATCACGTTCGATGTCTGGAAACATATGGCATCGATAACAAATTGCCGTTCGACCAAGGTGAGCGAGTTCAAGAAAAGGCGCGGATGGGTCCAGTGGTCCATAAAGGATGGGCTGATCTCTCGCACTAGCGGACCATTTACCATGCGGTGAGGGTCCGTAAAGAAACCATTGCCGACCGTTTGGTTGGCTTGTTTGGGATTTCCACCGTTCAGTGTGTTTGGGCTGTAGTGACGTTTGTTTTTATGAATGAACATCTGGCCTGTTTGAATGGTTAGCGAATGGACAGTGCATTCTGATACAATTTTCCAATGAAGAGAAAGAAACTCACCAGTGCCGTCGCGGTTGTTGTTATGGATTTTTGCGCGAGGTCTGTTGATTGGGATTTGTTCAAAGTTTGGACCGTTGTGACGGTTCAGCTGGGTGTCTAGGTAGGAGAACACACGTCCTTGAAGTAAGGGGTCTTCGGTGAAGTCGATGCCGGGAACGATATGTCCTGGTTGGAACTGCAGAGAATTTTAGACTGCGTATACGTTAAAACTATGAAGAAAGGAGCAGACTTACCCCAACTTGTTCAGTTTCGGCAAAGTAATTAACCGGATTTCGATTCAGGGTCATCTTCCCAACTGTGGTGAAGGGGACAATTTCTTCTGAGAGATATTTGGTCGGATCGAGCAAGTCGAATCCGTGCTTTAGTAGGTCCTCTTCATGGAACAGTTGGAGATCCAACTATAAGTTAGGTTTAAAGTTAGTCATGATTTTTGATCATCTCAAATCGATTTATACAGACAGGGGCATGCAGGATTTGCTCTTAATAACTAGGAACGTCGTACCTCCCACTCGGGAAACCGTCCAACTGAGATAGAGTCCCAAAGATCCTTTCTATGGTAATCGGGATTCTTTCCCGCAATTGCCTGTGCCTCTTCCCAGATCAAACTGGCTTTTCCTTGGAGAGTTCTCCAACGGAACCTAACGTAAGTAACCTTGGCATCGTGTGTGAGAAGTCGGAATGTATGAACACCGAACCCATCCACATGGCGCATTGAGCGAGGAATTCCATTTCCAGACATCACCCACAGAACTGCATGGAGAGCACTGGGCTGCTGGCTGAAAAAATCCCACGCTGAATCATGAGCAGTCGCTGCTTGAGGAATTTCACTGTCGGGCCGCGGTTTAACAGCGTGTATCAAATCAGGGAACAGAATGGCGTCTTGAATGAAAAAGACGGGGATGTTATTCCCAACAAGATCTGTATGATAGGAGGTTAGAATGTCCAAAAATACTAATCGCTCTCTTGGGTTAAGATTGAACTCATCCAACTTACCAAAATTCCCTTCCTCTGTATAGAGGCGGATAGCAAAACCATGAACATCGCGAGCAGTGTCAGCACTACCTCTGCTCCCAGCGACTGTAGAAAACCGCGCAAATACCGGAGTTGTTTTGCCCGCGGCGGATAAGAAAGCAGCAGCCGTGATGTTGGACCAGTCCCCGTAGGAGGTAAATACACCATGGGCACCTGTTTGCTTATGTCAACGAGTGTCCTTTTTCAGCTTGTCAGAAGCGGAGTTATCAGGAGAGCATTCATACCAACCCCTCGTGCGTGAACGACGCGCTCAGGAATCTTAATGTAATTGGATTAGCGCATGCGATCCACAATGGTATACAACATATATAGGCAATAAACAAGAGGTTGGAAAAGACGTACACGCTCATGGTCAAAATGCGTTAGCTTTTGCCGGAACTTGAAATCCTCAAGCAAGGCCGGGCCTCTGGGCCCCCCAGCCTTTAGGGTAATTTGGTCACTAATGGGTGTGCCAAAATCCGTCGTCATGAAGCCTTCACTATCATCGAGATAAAATTTGCTCAAAAATTCCTCGGTAGCCTTAGAAGCCGGATCATGTTGGCGACGATCCAGGGTTTGGCGGGCTCTTCGGGGTCCGTTGGGATCTCCTAGTACAGACGAACACACAACTGAAGCCACAATCGCCGAGGCGAAGAGAAACCCCAGAGACCGCATTTCGGACGCTGAAGAAGTCCGCGATGCGAAAAGGTACTTTCTTCAGGGCAACCTGTATAGGAACCTGTTTAGCAACGGAAGAGGGGAAAGGAGAGCTGGTAATAGTAAAAGCAATAGAGTGAGGGTAAAAAATTTTAACTAACTTCTTATGGCCTGTTAATTGAAATCTGATCAGGATAAGCGATTGTCAAGACAAGTCAACGCATACACCGTGATATGCCCATGTACATAATACGGCTGGGTGAAAACAGAATAAAGGGAGTGCTAGGGCAAAGGAAACAAAAAGCAGAATCAAAGCAGAATCAAAGTCTCGGTAGTTCCAGACTCCTTATATATGTAGTGGACATGATTGTAACCACGGCGCATCGGGAGGCTGGCATATAGGCATTGATTCGTTGGGTCCGATCCGGAATGGGAGAACGGGAGCAAAGAAGAAACCAGCAGACAGACTGAACGTTGCATTGTCAACATTCTGAAAGTACACATGATCATCTAGATTAAATCAGGCCCCCATTGTCCTTGCGCCGGAACCGAATAACGGACGTGAGGACCGCAGTGGGGAGGCAAAGGTTCCCACAGAGACCAAAGGCTTTCTTGCCATGAGCATGATGTTTCCATGGACGTGGGGGGGGAAAAAAATAAAATAAAAAAAGAAAGAAAGAAAGATAGAAAGAAAGGAAATGATGCGGGAAGTGATTGAGGAAAAGCAGCTGAGAGGAGCTCAGGCATGCACGGAAATGTGATGATGCAGTTGACAACAAGCAATATTGCACAATCCTATAGAGACATTATCGTATCAGCTACACCAGGGTTCTGTGATCATCACAACCACAGCCATATCCATATTCATACGGCTCAATTTCCTAGGAACTTCTGGCTTTGCATTGTGAACTCCATGCTGTCTTGGAGGAACGAGATGTGCAATCAGTGGATTGTGCCGGGATCCCGCTGCAGCGAACCAGAGCTCCTCCATTGCCACCCCCCACACCACCCGGGACGGAGCGAGGGCATCCAAGACACTGCAAGGGCATTAGCTAGAGCGACCCACCGCCCCTTGTTGTTCGGGAAAGACGCCTCATGTGTCCGGCAAGCCTTGCTCAAACCAATTTTTTTCTTGGGTTTATGGCAAAACGGTATTATTAGATAATATGATAACAAGTGATCTAGTTATATTAACTTCGAGATTAATTTTCCCCCATTTTGCTGCGAGTTCTAAGAGCCGAAATAGTGGTTTGTCGACGAAGAAAGAGGCTGGCGACGATTGAACCATGGCTTTTCGTGTGAAACCATTGCGGCGGTGGCGCCAATGACACCCCGATGCGTAGGTAGGTGGTTAACAGCCGACGAGAAAATCTTCAGTTCCTAGGGTAACTTCTTTCGATCCGGCCGGGCGGCGAACAAACACCCAGAACCTGGTCCCACTGAGCTCGTGCGTCGAGACGAACCGTGCAATGCAGGTGCCAGGAGCAGACAGGAATTGGGGACGAATCAACATGCAGGTATTTTCAGTTGGGGGCGTCAATAATAACAATAATAATAATAATAATAATACCAGATATTTTTGAGGTGCAGGAAGGCAGGTCAAAATATACTAAATGAAGCTTTCCCTCAGAATAATCCTTTTTGGGGCGAACAGATCAACAGAGTCTTAGCAGCAGCCAAAAAAAGAGAGTCAGCGGGTTCAGCAGCATCTGGGCCGGGAAAAGCCTTCGACAATTTCAGGCAAATGACAAACCTTCTTCCATTTAAGACTTGCATCCAGTCTCACACAACACACACAAAAAAAGAACACCCCATCTCCATCTAATTTCAGTATATTGTTCTAATTATGCTCTTGGCAGTGAAAAAGAGTGATGTCACCTACCCCGCTAGTTTACCCCTTTACAAACCCGATTCCTCCCTCCCTAGTCCTAATCCACCCTGGGTATATAATAGGTAAAAGGGTTGAATCGGGATATCCGTATTAGTAATCTGCGTGGGAGGGTGATTTAGAGTTAATCGTGGTTTAAAAAGTGGGCCCAACTTTAAAAAGCACGTTCGAATGTAACCCTGGCGGGAGTTAAATATACCTTAAACTACCTAACTTGGTTGAGTTATAGCGCCGTGGCTTTCGGCCACTCCCGCATCGCCACTCGACAAATTCCGCCTCCTGCGTTCGATATTGGGGCTCCAAGGATCTAATCACCTCATGCAAATGGGAACTTGAATCAGTTAATACGCTTCAGTGAACCAAAGTTAGCACCAGAAAGCAATCGGGTTTGTAGTGGCATCCATATTTCCATCCATATCATGTAAATATTTTCACCGCCGCCTGGGATGGTTTAGTCCTTTGTGAATTGTTTTTAATTCTGGCATGTTATCTTTTAACTGTTGATTGCGGTGGGGCCTTAACTCTGATCATCCAACATGACCAATGTAGGTCACGTAAAGGATAGTGGTTGAGATGCTCTCTTTCTGATAATTGATAACTATTACACTCGTGGTCCTGTAGCGTTCCGAGGGCATTGCCGGCAGGTTCCGGGGTTCCGGAGTTCTGGGGTTCTGTGGTTGCTCCCCTCCCGAAAGACCATATAAAACCAACTTGCAAAAAGTCCCACTCACAGTCATTACCCCCAACCCTTCCTATTCGGCAGTCTGTGGGAGATATCACTGGTATCTGGACCGTATCAGAGATCTCTGCTCTAATGTTGATGCTGCCGCAGCCGGCAAGCCCACAGTCTCCACCCCGAATGTGGAACAGTTTAACACCGTCATCCATTCATTCAGTCATTCCTCAGGATATTCCAAGCCTCCAGTAGTTGAATGGAGTAGCCAAATAGAAGGATTGAAGGCATGGATCCGCTACACCATTGCGGAGTTCCGCTCCCTTCTGAGTTGAGCTTTCGGGTATGGAATCTTACAGGAGACGCGTTCGTGTTTGAAATGATGATCGACTTGCGGATGAGAGGACGTACGGGGATTCCCAAGTTGGTAGTTTTTTGAGATCCTTGTGGTGATCTTGAGAAGTGGGACTGTGGGGTGCTTCCAACGTAATTTCTCATATGCAAACACTCATTGGTCTTCGTGAGCGTGTTCCGCGACAAGTTATGCCACTGCTGACTACTTTCCTCACTTGGGATGTGATAGACACAGTTTCTTCATACATTCCCAAATGAGCTGGACAGGGGCGCCTTGCTACGCTAATCCACATGAAATGACTGTACATTGCGAAATCATTTGTATATGATCGTTTGACTCAAAAGTTTAAGAGATTTTGAAGGGCCCAAAGGATTCGAATGCTGATTAGTTGAGTAGCTGCCGGACGTCGCTGCTCTCAAATTGGTGATCCACAGAAAGTATGCAGAAGAAGAGTCCATTAGATAGCTAGGTTTATTTAACCATCGTCTGCTATGATTGGAGATGGGGATAGGGAAGAGAGATCATGAGCCCGCACCTATAGGTTTTATGTATATAGAGAAGACTTGAATCCAGGGGAGCGATGGTTCTTTCCGGACTGCGAAGACTGCACCATTGTCTTCAAGTCGGATACGTTAAGCCACTTTGAATAGAGTGGGGCTCTTTGGGGGAATTTAAAGCTATCAATTGCCTCAGGCAATAACATGGGACAACGACATCTTCCGCGGGGTCAGAAAGCTGTCAGCACAGTTAGATACGCATAATCAGCCAAGCATGCTCTCTTTCCCCCCTCTCCTCTGCATGAACTAAAAGGCCGTACGTTGGTAACACATCGGGGACAAAACAAATCCGCCAAATCTCAATAATGCATGTTTCAATTGCTCGCTTACTTCGTTGGAGGCCTGTCAAACAAAACTCGAACCCCCCAAGAGTTCAGTGTGAAAACGTCAGGCTGATTTCTCTTAGCATGCAGCATGGGTTGGTTTTCTCGACTTCTTGAGATGCCCAAAACTCGACCCTATTTTTTTTTCTTTGTTTTTCTTTTTGAAAAGTCAGATGATTATTTTTGGTATTATTATTGCATTCAACATCCCGTTATGAATAGCGAACGATATCGATCCATGACAATGTAATATAGGCTCCTGATACCGTCATTCCAATGTTCGCCAGTCCCAGCAGTGATGGATGACGGCCAGGTACGGGTTAAAAGGCCCAAAAACATATCAAAAGCATGGGATAGCTTCCGGGCTCAAATACGCAATGGGGGGGACATATCACTATTTTTACTGGCAACCCGCTGTCGTTCATTGGGTAAGGGAGACGCTTCGTTGATGCGCGACGTTGATTTTAGGATTTTAGGTCTGGATGAGAGTTTCGGAAGGGAACCATGGTACGGTCCGGGGTAAGACCCGCTCCGCCCGCCAAGCCGGCTTCATACCAAGGCCCGTCAGCAAATTTCATTCTGCCAAACTCAAACATCTGCAGATATCCCCACTCGCCAGTGGACATGTTGGGATGAAAATGAAATAAACAGGTTATTAAAACGTGGGTCGAGGTAGAGTTATGAATATGCTGCATCCCCTATCTTCCGTTCTTATCTTGTCTGCTGGTGATAATTTTATTTGCCTCATTGAATCTGACGATGTACGAGCGAGAAGCGTATATGATATTCCAGGAGAAACGAACATTTACAGACATATCTAATTCTTCCCTAACCAGGCCATTAATAATTTTTTGGCCTTCTGGTTATGGAATGCCCCATATGACGAAGACAAGGCGGAAAATCAACACCAAGGGACAGCGAGCGCGACCCCCCTGGTGCCCGCGTCGGACCACCATGCGGAACAAATTCCACAAACAAAAAGGATAGAAAAATTCTAACTCTGAAGCTTCAAGACGTAACAGGTGTCCCGCAAACCGTGGAACGTGTCGATGCATTCCAATCCAGCACTGTTAGCCCATTCCAAAAATTCTGGCTCCTCCCACACACGTAGTGAGAACACGATTCTGTCCTTCTGAATCACTTCTTCCTCGCCGGTCGCCAGTTTCCGGATGGCGTGGAAGGTATGGTAGTCTGTCTTTACACATCCTTCCATTTTGGAGTCGTCGACGGGATACTTTCTATAGACAATATCTGGGAACGCCTTACTGGGGAAGCCTTCAGCCTCCTGCAGCTTCACCCACGTCCTTTCGACCACGGGTTCCTTGGTAATTGACCTCTTCGCAATCAGATCGTTGACAATGGGGAGATACGCCCGGCCGGAGCCGGGACGAAGAAGCGCAGCTACCTGGGCAAGAAATTGTTGCGGCTCGTCAGCGCCGATGAGGTGACTAATACTCCCCGCTGCAAAGAAAAGGAGGTCGATCCCTCCGGCATATCCCTTCAGTGTTGTCGCTGATGCCACATCTGCCGCCTCCCCTAAAACCCATTCCACTTTGCCGACTCGGGCCATACTTGACAGCGTCGCCTGTGCCTTCTCTGCACGGCCGAGCATGGCTGGTTCGTTGTCCACGCCGATGAAATGTGCGTTTGAGAGATCGAGGCTGTCTCTCTCGCCATCATTGGCCAGATTGATGAGGACACGACCTGTCCCGGTGCCAATGTCGAGGATAGAAAACGGGACATCAATTGAGGGTGGAGGAGATCGCGTGGAGAGAGCGTTCTTGAGGATAGACGTGTAGATTGGTGTGCCATCCTTGGTATCCAAGTTTTTGGCATTCTTCTCGGCCCATAGATCATAGTATTCTGCAAGATATGCGGAATCGTAAAAGGTGCTCTTGCGCCCTTCCGAGTCGCTGCTTGCCATTCTCGCAGTATGGGAATCAAGGTTGGGCGAGAATTTTGACGCACAGAAACAGGTAACAGGTAATTGTCTCTTTATTGTATGCTGAAAATCTGAAAAAGAAGACGCTGTCCATCAGCAATGAGGTTCTCTAACTCCTGAAGACATGTTGCCTTTGCTGTCAATATTGGGGGTGTGTTTTTTATTTTATTGTATTTTAATTAATCAATTAATTTATAAGAAAACATCGGTCTACATATCATCCTGGCCAACTTTCCAAACTGCTCAATTTTGAAGTTAGGAGGGGAAGTTCTCCCACATGCAGTGTGACTTAACATTGAGACCGGATGTCACGCATAATAATCCCTTAATTAATTCTTGCAGAAGAAACTTACGTTCCCGTGTGCCAACCCAAACACGAGTGCATTGTATTCGGGCATGCATCAATACGAAGGCGCTTTTTTAGTGATGCAGTTACACTCCCACCTACAATTCGAACGCGTGGAAAAGGAAAAAAGAAAAGTCAAATAACGTATTGAGCCAATTTATCAAATCATCTAGATTGCAGTAAGCGCGAAAGGACCTTGTACCAATTTAAAATAATTTGAGTTTTCAGTATGGTTATGACAATTACATATTATAATTTTAAACTCTGTGATGAAATAAACCAGATCCACGGATGATATAAGGATGAGAACAAGGATATATTACACAACGAACGGGCTTGCATTGAGAATGGCGAAGCGTGAGCGGCTACAATCCGTCTCAAGGCTGCGAAATTTTGAAGTGCTCAGTTCTTTACACAAACACTGGGGATTACTTTTTGTGTCCCAGACGAGGCAATCTGACGGGTATGACTAAAATGAGAACTAAGATTGCCCAAAGTAAACTTGATAAAAAGGTTATTCGAAGCGCCATTTCATATGCGCTGGTGACTGTAAATGTCGTCATCAGTTAGTTATTTCTCTGAGAATTTTAAGAAAGGAACAGAAACACTCACCCTGGCCCTTATGAATCGTGTCCAATTTAGCAATCTCCGCGATAGACCCCCGGACACGGAGAATTATATCTGCCTTATCGGGACCGGTAACTGTTTGGCGAAGAAAAGTGCTCAGAGAGTTTTGTAGGACTAAGCTACTGATTGCCACGCCCATAACCCATCCTAGCGAACGGAGTAGAGAAAGGGTGGTTGTGATGACGGCCTGATCCTCTTGGGCGTTGGTTGACAGGACACCCATCATTGTTGGCGGATATAAAGCTCCCTGGCTAAATGCCGCCATTGAAATTAAAGTCACAGACACCCAATCTGGGACCCTGCTACTAATCATCCCCGAGAAAGCACAACTGCAAATTAGCCAAAATACTCCTCCAAGCAGTATTGGTTTCAGCAGCTTGGTTTTTGTCATAAAGACGCCGGTTAGAAGGCTAGCAACCATCAGACCAGCGGAGGCTGGAAGAAGACGTAGGCCGGAATTGGTTGGTGATTCCAGCTTTACCGCCTGAAAGAAAAGAGGTGCGTTGAACAATATTGTGTTGATGGAGATACCAACAAGAAAGTTCCCCAATATCAAATTTGCATGCGGCGCATTTGTTAAAAGTGATAATGGGATTGCCGGCTTGGATGTCGATTGTTCGGCTTTTATGAAGGGAACCGAAATGAGACAGAATATGGCCAAGGAAGAGATAACAATTGGGTGTCTCCAAGGAAAGACATTGCCGCCTAAATTCATTCCCATCATCAAAGCAGTAACTCCAACAACCAGGAAAACAGAGCCAGCAATGTCTATGGTCCTAAGCGCTTCTCTCATGCTGATGTTTCGCTCGCGTGCTAGCTGAGGCCCCAGGTTCGATGGCAGCGTAAAATATACGGCAATAAAAAGAGCACATAGCATTGGCAATTGTATTCCAAAGACTGCTCTCCAGCCAAGGGAGTCAACTATCACCCCTCCAAAAGCCAATCCGAGGCAATTCCCAAGGCCATAAGCAAGGCTGATGTATGATTGGTATATCCCTCTGTGTTCAATGTAGATCAAGTCTGAACAGATAATCGCCCCTAACGAAGTGACCCCGCTTGCACCAACACCGCAGAGTAGACGGGCAGCAAGGAAGCTGCTGAAGTTCCATGACACTCCACACCAGACCGTGGATAGAAAAAATATCGAGATGGAAAAGAGGTAAGGTATGCGCCTGCCAAATATATCAGATATCTGACCAAAGATCGGTTGGAAAACTGTGCAGGTCAAAAGGAATCCGGTAGAGAGCCAAGAAGCTGAGTTCGCGACATGGAAATGCGACGAGATTACGGGGTGAATGGATTCTAAGATAGAGCCGTCGAAAAAGGACAGGATGATGGAGAGTAGGATGCTTCCAAATACCACCCAGAATTTTGAAGGAGTAATGCCGATGAAATGAGTGTCATGCTCGCTGCGGTCGTCACGGACGCCCACTTCGGTGGCCTTTTTGAGTTCACCATCGGCTGTGTATGGTAGCCGCCCGTCTAATGATGATGACGATGAAGGCGAGGTTTGCCTGTGGTTGCTCTGTGTCATCAATGGAGTGGTTTCATCATTGTTGTTCTCGCCGAGGACGGGGACTCCCATCATTGATTGTATCGTGGAGGTTGGATTAGGTCATCAATTGGGGATTGTATTGGCTCTCGTGTATGTTTCATGGACTCCATCTGATTATTTACCCAGGGGGAATTAGGAGAAGAGAGAGCAAAGGCAATATAGAAATGTTGATTAAAAAAACACAGTAGCACCTATCTATCCATCATGTTCGCAGTTCGGGGTGGACACGCTCAGCTGCACTCCGCCGCCTGGCAAGATTTGCACAACAATATCCAAATGTGGGCGCTGAAGCATGGTGATCGGAGAGGTTTCCCCGTCATTGAATTATTACAGCGAAGCCTGTTGACCGTAGTTGATTCGGTGGACCTGTCTATTGCGGATTGATTGGCTAGCAAATGGGAGCTCAAAATTGGGAGCTCGTTGGGAGCGGGGCGGTCGTGGCAAGCATTGATACGTTCGGTGGCAGGACACACAGCATTTTCGTCCTTCTTGCTATTTTATTCTCGAAAATAGCTTGTGGTTATTTGAAACTAGCATTCGCTGAATAGCTCTTTGAACCTCAACTTTGTCGACAAACCTGATGATCTGACACCGGGAATGACATCGGTGGTTCATCTATTCAAAATACTCGCGGAACTTCACAATGCCCAGTTGACAGGGTTCATTTATCATTCACAGAGCATGGTTAAACGTTTACGATTGTAGTTAATGAAATTAGGTTTACTGAGCTTAAAGCCAACCTGGGAATTCAGTTCTCGAAATTGCTGAAGATAATCGAGGGAGAAAAAAAATTTTTAGACACCCTCGGGGAGTCTTCCATACAATATTTTCACCGTTACGCAACCTTTGTCAAACATCTTTCCAAGTAGTTATTGATCTTTTCGGTGTTGTCCAACGTTGCGATGGTTCCAACGTATCCGTCGGGTCGGACCACAGCAATGGCACCTGATTTGATGTCCACGCCATACACGGCATATCCCTCTGGATCGAGATAATGAAGCCGCATTTCAGCTTCCTGCTTGACAAACGGCGGGATATTCGTCCACTCAAACGACAGAGAACCAAATGGTGTAAAAACCACTAGTTCTACCGTCTTTGGGGTGAACGAGGACAGTATATTTTGGCAGATATGTTTGAGGGCAGACGCGGAGACCCCCTCTGGGTTTCCGGGAAGATCATCGGAACAGAGGACAAGCACACGAAAGCGCCCGTCAGAGGGAAACTCGTCTTGCGAATGTCTGATATCCCCATCTGCAAACCTCGTAATGGTTACATCTGCAAGGCGGCGACCTTCTCTCAGGACCCCAGCTGAATAGTCGCTGCTGTTAATCGTTCCATCCAAGCTTCCAAGTTTCCTATCGACTAGAAATCCTTCGTCATACTCAATGGTACCCACCATGAACGCCAGCAATTTATCCTCTATAAAATTTTCCGATTGGACACGGTCCTCAGCCTCTGTCTGATACCGGGTTTCGTACCAAAGCCGGTCGTTGTCAATAAGATCCTCAGCATTCTTGAGGCGATCGCGGGCAAATGTGTCGAGAACTTTTTCTGGATTCGGAGTCAAACCGTTGATTGAGTACATTAGCTTCCAAGCCAGATCGTAGCTATCCATCAGGGCAACATTCATCCCTTGGCCTAGGGCTGGAGAGTGGGTATGGCACGCTACATCATGCTTGTTAGAATACCTTCATCCCACACCAAGGGAGTGTTCAAGCATTGAATTGAAATCGCTACGAACCGTCTCCAACAAGAAAAACGCAGGAATTCCCAGAATCATCTTTCTTAACAAGCTGTTCTGCGTACCTTCTCCCTACTTGGTATGCTGCCCACCACTCGATTTCTTGTTTTGGTCGGATATAATACGGGTGAAACAACTCCTTTGTACGATCTAAGATGAGCTCTGGCGTAATCTTGGCCCTGCGTGCACGCTGATATTCCTCAGTATGGGGTGCAGCGCCGGAGGTGCCAGATTCAATGAGATCATCCTCATCGAATGGCACATATATCCGTGTGAGATACTCTCCGTCGTTTTTCCTTTCGCGGGGTATTATCGAGACAATGTTTTTCGAAGAAGCAAAGTGCACAGGCCTTCGAATGTCGGGAAAGTCAGTGTCAACCACGATATCAGCAACGCCCCAAATATCGTCAGCCATACTACCGATCTGATTTATGCCAATCGACGTTCTCACAACTGAATGCGCGCCGTCTGCTCCAATCAGGTACCGTGTCCTGATGGTCCGCTTTTCTCCATTCTGTTCAAGCGTTACTCTCACAGGAAAGTCATGCAGTTCGTCATTTTCAATCTTGGTGTCCAGAACTCTACTGTTCCAGGTAATACCAGTTGCGGAATACTTCTTGAGGTCATCACGGAGTATTCGTTCAATCCTCCCCTGTGCCATCATAACTATGGCGGGTTTGTATCGCGCCTTAATCCTTGTTGTGTACTGCGAAAACTGTCGAATAAAGCCTGTCGGAGAATTAGGATCCTTGATCCATCTGGTGAACTCATAGCCGCGTAGGCCGTGATTCCAGATCTCGTCGGCCAAATCTAGGCTTTTCAGAACCTCCATTGTACGTTGCACAACTGCATCAGCGTGGCCAATTTTGAATGCCGACGGGCTCGAGTCAATACATAGGCGAGAGGAATCAGGCAATCCATAGCGAGCAAGCAGAAGGTTTAACATCAGACCCGCAGGCCCAGCCTGGAAGAAGCGATGGTCAGTGAGATGCTTTTCGTATACCTACATGCCAACAGATATACTACATACACCAACAATTACCACTTCATATACCTCAGCATTATCCTTCGTCGGAGAGGGCAAAGGAGTCAGTCGAGGGAGCGGTTGAGCAAGTGATGGGCTGACTGTGTTTCTCCGCTCTACTGTTTGCTCTTCGGCGAAAACTTGCATTTTTGGTTCGGGAAATTGTTTTCTCAAGAAGAAATTAAGCTACAGCTATAATAAAGAATGGTTGGACATAAGCATATCGATCATAATAAATGTTTAAACGAAAGTGTCCATTGAAAGCGGGGAAACCATAGGCAAATAATGTGCTTCGAGAGAATACCTCTACGTTCCGGTAAGAAAATAATTTTGGTTATCTGACAACCGCTTCAATCATATAAAATATTAGACTCTCTCTAATAAATACATTGAAGAAAGAAAGAATTGGTTTTTCCTGGATTTCGTGAAGAGTGTGTGAACCCTTGCCAATCAGGTCCTCTAACAAGATGATAGGAGTACTCTGTACACGTATGCCCTTCTGAAAGATTCCCTTCGAGGGTCTCTATCGCATGTGGGTTCTGGCAAGTTTGAAGTGACACTGCATCGTAACAGCGGATTTTGTGTGTCCCTCAAATGTGAAAATTTACCGGCAGTCCTGCATGTCTTCGAAAATGAATATTCTGCCACCTTATGCTCGCAAATGGGGACCCCCGTATCTCATCCGAAGCTAACGGTCGTGTCAAAAGGCCGCTACTTCTGGATGCTCCACCTGGAAATAAGTTGGTGCTTTTCGATTCGCTCCTCCGCCCTTGCGGTGACAAGATCCTGGTGTGTATGGATGGATATACGGTAACTTTCCAAATTTCCAAGCTGGAGATACGGCGTCCAAAGCCCATTGTTGGAGCCACTAGCTTAGTTACCAGCTACGGCAATAGATGTCTGGACAATCTCAAGGCACTAAATGTGGGCTGCCGATCCCGCCCGCCACGGTTTTGACAAGGGAACTTCTGAATGTGACAGTTTCAAGTGGGGTCAGCTGAACGTGGAGCTAGATCTTAAAAAGAAAGAAAGAGGAAGAAAAAGAAAAAGAACATAAAAAGGGGGAAAAAAAAGAATTATTGGAAATGTATTTATTTTTGCGGGAAACACTCTGTATGAAAATGTATTTATGTACAATACAGTACATTCAGGCAACCCATCGCCATGCCGCAGCTGAAATTGCAATAACTGGTATAACATATTTTCCAATCGATTTTACCGTTGCATTCATGGTATTCCAGAATTCTGCCTCCACGTTTGCATTGAACATATCGGCGGAGTTTGTCTTGGGAAACGAACCATCCGGGACACGGACATTCAGAAATTCACACAGTGGCTTCCATCCGTCATCGAAATTGTATTCGAGTAGCTGGTCTTTGGGAATTGCCTTCCTAACCTTCTCGTAATGATCGATATAGGCTTGCCGGCATTTATCTCCATAGTCGTTGTTGCAAAGTACCTTGAACGATGTTTCCATCATAATGACGATCGGGCGGGTCGTCTGAAAGTCGAGGAATTTCAAGGCTTGTGTATGCCAGCGCTGAATCCACGGAAATATCGTTTTGTGCATGGACGTCATCCAGGAGTCAACACTACGATTCGTGAGGATGATTTTTGCGTCCGGGTATGCTTGATGAAGGTCGTTCCAGAAGAGACAGCAGGGCATATCTAGACAAGCATCGTATTCACCCAGAAGGCGGTCGAATTCTTCGCGGCCATATGGACGGCCTTTGTTGAAGAAATTGCAATTCATAGCTTCGGTCCAGAGTGTGAAATATCGCTTCGGGTCATCCATTTGCTCTGTCAAATGGCATGTTTTGAACCCCAACTCGCGAAGAGCCATGTTCATCGCTATGGAAAGATAATCAGTAAATACCTTAGTGAATATCTGCAGCGAGAGTTTTGCTTGGGAAGTGAGAATAAAGATTTGGGACGACCGAAGAATCTGGACTCAGCGTGAAGACTTACACATCGTTCCTGTTCTACATAGTCCCGCAACAATAACCTTCATAGGCCGCTGCCTCTTGCTTTGCTCCTTGTCAATAAGCCTCGACATTCTCGCCGCCAAATCCCTTCAGCAGAATACAAATTAGAAGATATGTCTTTCATGAGAATTGTGAGGCAGGACAGAAGTACGTATGTATGTACGTACGTCCAGACACACACATCACAAGATATACCCTTCACCAACTGAGCATATTCAAAATCTGCTCTGAAGACCTATAATACACTCAGTTCGCTAAGAACATGTTGATTACCCATGTTTGTGGCACAGCGAGATCTTAAATTTGAGAGAGGGTTAATTACACCGCTTTCCTAGTAAATCATATGCATAGTCACCAGATAGCGGTTCAGAATTGGACATGGGGTATCCAACGGGCAAAAGTACACAGCATTTTTATCCTCATGCATCCCGTGGACATGGGAAGCAGGTCTATGGTTTTTTAAACACGGTTAACCACTGCTGAGGAATTTACGGAGATCCACTATTAGCTCGAACAGTAGTAGTATTTCGTACTTACGAGACCTGAGGGGAAAAGTTAACAGTATATAATTATGTATATGCGTTACGCCTATAATGTTCAGTTTCAACACATTTAAGAGGAAAAATCAATGTACAGCAAAAGAGGTGAACATAATCTTGAGAGAGAGAACATGGATTTGCTGATATTTTGTATTAAAGACCGTATATACTTCCTGTCTGACCGTCTGATTCTGAACAGTCATTTTAGTGGTGTAATTATGAGTTCCTCAAAATTGGGATTGTGGTAATATTCCCTGTCTATTGACACAGCTTGCTACTGTACATATCAGCCAAATCATGCAGATTTTAGTTCGTCACTATATGTCCAATTATTTGGAAATGAACTGCATAGCAGTACAGCAGAAGCAACTCTGTGTGATATTCAGAGAAAAGCTATCTAGCATTTAGGTACCAAAAGTTTGTGAGAAAAGCCGCGTTAGCATTTATTAATCTTGACCAGGATTTTACAAAATAGGCTTGGGCCCAGGATTGATAATTCAAGCTTTGAGGTGAAGTATCGTCATCCGATCCATGAATCGAAGCATTCAGGATCCAGCAGCCTCTTACGAAACACGGAGAATATTTCGACCTGACGTGGATAGCAGACTTGGCTGCAGTGTGGGAGGCACTTCTCGCCAAGCGGCTAGGCACGAACCACCCGTCTCCGCTGCAGAACTGGCGATAGAGATCAAACCCCAACGAGGCGCCAAATCAAAAATAGCCCAGTGTTCTCAGCAGCCTTCTCCACACACTGTCGTGGCCTTCGAATGATCGATCGCAGCTTCGCAAGCCCCCTGCCCTGAGCCATGCATACATATATGTACGGGATTCCGCCGCATCATCCCAAGCAACCTGCAGAGAAAGGTGTTTGGAGATTCGATTGGTCAAGGGCGAACAGGAAGATGCAGAGAACCAGGCACTTGAAACCGTATGGTATTTCAATTCCAGTTGCTAGCTAATCCAGGGACAGAGCTTGAACATGGCGCTTTCTCGAACAGATCTTGCAGTGTTATCTATCATCATGCAGGTTTCTGTTTCCACCTACATCATGCAGATACTCCTTCGGTGACACGAAATCGCCGCTTAAACCATTCTTCAACGCTGATTAACTGGAGAGCCGAGCCCGCTTGACCCCTGGCGCGAGCTCCAGTCATTTTCAGCTGCGCCGCTGTGTCGGACTCGGTGGGCTTCTCGCCAAAATATCGTCCACCGGTGATTTGCGTGAACCCAAACATCAGCTTCACATCTTCAAGTTCGTGAATCCCATGCGTATCAAAGGCTTCCCAGGACGGCATGAGCGGGTCGAAGCGAGATGGCTTTCCGGTCACTACAATACTTTGTCATTACCGTGCCTCTCTGTTTTCAAATCTTGTCCCCCTTGCATGTGCAGGTAACGTATCGGAACAGCAAAACAGGATTTCTTGTCATACCTTCCTGGAACCTGCTAACCAACTGGCCGAAGCTGAGGATATCGCTCACCCCCTGTACTACACAGCCATTCCATTTCTCGGGCTCTAAAAATAGGCCGTGGACGATATCACCGTAATCGTCAGTCATGCTGAGCCAAGGTACATCCTCCTTCCCTCCCCACATTGGAACTTTGAACGTGAGGTATCCCTCCGGGTCCGGAAAGTGGGGAAAACCGCCAAAAATTGGGGCAACTTCTTGTGACAGGAAGTTTTCCAAGTACCACCCCGCGCAAATAAATGCGGCGGTGGAAAACTTCCCACTTGAGCGAATATAGTTTTCAATCTTGTGTTTCACTGGTTTCATGGACAAGGTAGCAATTAGTGACCGGCTGAAAAACCGCAATCGGCGGCTAGCTTACTGTCCATGGCCTTCATTCGGACCTTGCCGCCAGTCATCTCTGTACAGGGAGGACCAGAGCTGAAGACAATGTGTGCAACACCGGCCTCGATGGCACTGTCGATGATAATCTTGCCCAGGTCAAACTCTGTCGGGCCATTCGGATCGGTAAATACCTGGTCAACCTTGAGCTTTTGGCGAAACATGAAGGCTCGCAAAATGTAAAATTAAGCGGTAAAGATCTGGGGTTTACCTGGTCATCGGAATTGAGATTCACAAATGCTCCCCAGGCACCTTTAAATGCCTCAATCATCTCCGATCCTTTAAAGCCATCGGCCTTGACAACCTCAGCACCAAGGACAGCCAATGTTTTGCTTTTTTCTGAGTCAGGATTGCGAGTGATGGCGCGAACTTGGAAATTGTTCTTGTTTTCCAAGAGAGATTTAGCAACAGAGCCACCCTGGTTGCCCGTGGCACCGAAAACAGTTACAATTCTGGAAGAAGCCATTTTTATAGATCGATGTAGAATGAAAGCTTCGAAATCTTGCAAAACGTTCGAAAGAGCGAAGCTTGCAACAAGAAATGTCTTCTTTATCAATCGCACTTCCTTATTTCCCCGCTGGCGTGGAGGGCAGGCTGGAACACGATTCTACACCGTGTGACCCGAATTTGTGATATGCCGTGACAACACATGTGCGTGTACAGAGTACATATCTCAAAATTTGGATCAATAAACAGGGTTTGATAGTTAGGCTACGATGATCAGCCGCAGCCACATCATAATTCCAAAGGGGTAAAAAGTGCCTTGCAAAAATGCAACGTGGTTGGCGAACGACGAAAAATACGGTACAATCTGTCTGTCCGAAAAGATCCCCCCAGTTCGTAAATATAAGGTTGTTCGAAGGCAAAAATAGTAGATCTTGATGACGAGATTCTTCAAACTTATTGCGATATCATTATCCCCAGCCCTAATTATCTTTCGACGCATATAATAATGAGTACCGAGTACCACCATCTTGTTCAACGCGATGATGGTTTAGGTCGGCTTTTTGATGGCCAAGCACGCCTTACCCCTGACGCACCAGCAGTTGTAGACGGTGATTGCATTACGACTTATGAACAAATTCGTTTGAGGAGCATCCACCTAGCATCTGAACTGCGCAAAAATGAAATTGCTCTGGAAGAGCCAATCGGTATTCTTGTCAACCCAAGTGTCTACGACGTCGTCACTCAGATCGCGGTGATATACGCCGGTGGCAGTTGCGTTCCCCTTGACCCAAATCTTAGCAATGAACAGCTGGAGTCCAGACTGAAGAAGTTGAACGCGCGATATCTTATTGTTGATTCCTCAAACGAAAACCGCCTCTCTGCTTTCCGCCAATTTGTCGCTGGTGAAAATGAAAATTTGGGTGAAGTGCAGTCTGGAGAATCTCATAATCTCCCTGTTTCAACAACCTTGGAGCACCGGACCCATCTGATACATACTTCTGGAACCACTAGTGAGCCCAAAGCAGTCCAAATCCTTGCTCGATCAGTTCTAGAAGTTGTATATCATTTTCCATTTGCACCTCTTGATATGGAAGATGCTGTGGCACATGTCAACAACACAAGTTTCGACGTCTCTCTTGTTGATATCTGGGCCCCTCTGCTCCGAGGTGCTCGCGTTGTTCTTGTTTCTAAGAACATCCTCCTCGACCCCGTTGCATTGGCCGACACGGTGAAGAAATTTCATGTTACAGTTATGGCGACAACATCCGCTGTTCTAAATCTAGCAGCTGTTGTCTATCCATCAGCTTTTTCCAGTCTTAAGACATGTATGATTGGAGGTGAGGTTGCACAGCCCTCTGCAGTCAAAACTATACTCGAAAAGGGACCACCGGGCCAGTTAATAAATGCATATGGCCCTACTGAATGTTGTGCATTCGCTCTTGCTCACAGGGTAACCCTTGATGACCTCAATGCGGAATCAATAAGCATTGGGAAACCAATTGGCGCCACATCAGCGTTCATCCTCGACGAATCGCTGAATCCGGTGAAAAATGGTGAAGTCGGAGAATTATACATTGGCGGACCTGGCGTTAGCCGTGGCTATGTGAACAATCCTCAGAAAAACTCGGAATCGTTTCTCGAAATTGGCGAGTTGCTGACCTCAGGCGTGTCGAACCGGGTCTATCGCACTGGAGACTTTGTCAAGCGTGAGGAATCTGGGAAGATATTCTTTGTTGGCCGACGAGACAATCAAGTTAAAATTCGCGGATTCCGTATTGAACTGGAAGCTGTGGAAACCGCATTGCTCAAAACCGGTCGCTTCTCCGATGCGGCAGCATTCAAAGTTGATACTTCCGGCCATGGAACGGGAGGAGCGCTGGTTGCATACGCTGTTCCAAATCTGCATTCGACAGATACTCTCGTCGGGGTCACTGATAGGTTGAAGGTTATGTTGCCAGATTACATGATACCGCGTATTGAACTGATTGACAAACTTCCCCTGAACTCTCATGACAAAGTCGATCGAAAAAAACTGGTCAGCTCGTACCTTGAAAGAGCCAAATCTGGGCTTCATTTAAAACACGAGAAGTCGATGACAACAGTTGGCCGTTTGCAGCAACTCTGGTGTCATACTTTAGGCCTGGGAATAACAAATTTTGAGGAGCACGATGACTTTTTCCTCTTGGGAGGCACGTCTTTGCAAGCCGCGGTTTTGATTCACAAAATCCGCCAGGAGTTCGAAATCGATATCTCCACTTTAACCCTGTACGATAACTCCACATTGATCGGGCTAGCCGCAGTAATCGATAGTTTCAGGAAGGGGACTTTCACTGAGAAGGACGAGAGGCAACTCTGGCTAGCGGATGCTAAGCTAGGGGAAACCATCAGTATCCCAAACAAATCACCTCGAAACTGGCGTTGCGATACGGAAGGGCGTGTGTTTTTGACTGGTGCTACTGGTTTTGTCGGGGCTTTCTTGCTTGTACAGTTGCTTGAAATGCCAGATGTCCATCAGGTTGGATGCCTAGTGCGTGCTCCCAATGTTGACTTGGGTTTCGTGCGTCTTCGCCATATCCTCGAAAAATACAAGCTTTGGAATGATTCTCTAAAGGCAAAATTGCTTATTCTTCCCGGGAATCTCGAGGACGACAATTTAGGATTTAGCGAGGAACGATTTGGGGAAATTGCAGAATGGGCGAGCGTTGTGTTCCACCTCGGGGCGCGGGTGAACTATGTTCAACCTTATTCCGTTCACCGAGCAGCCAATGTCATAGGAACCCTAAATATCCTGCGTCTTGTGAGTGTTGGAAGGCCCAAGACTCTTCACTACGTGTCGAGCATTTCCTGTTTCGGCCCAACAGGTATGATAAACGGCGTCTCACATGTTTCTGAAGACGGCCCTATGCTACCACACCTGGACGCATTACTATACGATCACGGATATGCCCAGAGCCAATGGGTGATCGAGTACATGCTCCAGAATCTCATCAAACGGGGATTTCCTGTGGCCATTTATCGACCGGGATCGGTCACTGGCCACACCGTGAGCGGTGTAGGCAACCCCGATGATTTCCTCTGCCGTCTGATCAACACCTGTTTTGACGTCGAATCTTACCCTTTGCTTCCCGGTCAACGAAAGGATGTGGTTCCCGTGGATTACGTATGCTCTGCTATTTTACACATCTCGTCGTCCAACGAGAACCTTGGCAGAGCGTACCACATCGTCCCGCATTCTTCGAAATATGTCTCTGTAAACGACACATTCGAGCTCATTGCACAGTGTGCCAATCAAAAAATGGAAGCTTTGCCTTACTCGGAATGGGTAAAGAAGCTTGCATCCAAGCCCACCAGCCGTCTGAAGCCCCTCCAGCCAATGTTAGAACAAAAGTACTATAAAGGCCTTACTCGTTGGGAGATGTATGAAAACATGCCGATCTACTTGACCGAAAACACTGATCGCGCTCTGCAGGACTACCCAAATGGGCTGCCCTGTCCGCCCTTGGATGAACAATTAGTCCGTCTGTATCTTGCACAGTGGGAAGCTGATCAGACTCAGGCCACGCGGGGCAAAACCCGGCGAGTGATAACCAGCGATGATGGGATCCCAGTCACAGAAAGGAGGGTAAAACAAATCCGGGCATGTTCGGGCCATTGATATTCTTTCGTTTCTTTTCGTTTCGCTTTTTTCTTTTTAATTTATTTATCTATATTTGTATGTATTCGGTTTTTGGCGTTGTTATTGTTTCGGAATATTGAGTGTAAAGAATCCAGCGGGTTGGAGGATTCTTCCGCATCTCTGGAGGTTTTAACAATACATAACTCAAATGATATAAACTATATAGACTGGAAGACGGAGAAACAAGTTTCTCCGAGATCCCGTGCCTTACTAACCGCTTATAGTTAGTTAACTAGTTAGTTAACTAGTGCCTTGTTCTTGCTTAGTCACCACCTTAGCTGCGGTAGTTAACCAACTAACTAAATGTAGTAATTAGTTAACGAACTAATTGAGTTCCGGGCCCTAATTACTTCCACGTGCCGAATCTACCCAACCACTTGAACCTTATACAAAGCCAGAGAGATCTTTGAATGATATTGAATAATTTAACATCCGATTGACAAGTTTGCTGTTGATGGGCAGCACACTGACCACTTGGTGTTCCGCCTAATAGTGAACCAACTGTCTCAGCGCTACACCCAAAGTCTGAATATTTCCCTCCTATCTCATGGGTGTGCTTCAGCTGTAGTGGGACAACAAACTAATCTTCCTTCGTGAATAAGCACTAATCAACAAAGATAAGTCACCGAGTATTTTAGGAGGAACGGCAAGAATGATTCAGGAGGTCGCTTGGTCGCTTGGTGCACTGTCCTCGGAAATATGTTCACGGCTGTTTCCGTAGCATCAGTCTCTTGTTTCAGCAACAGGATGGCGGGAACGGTATGCGTTCAGTCCCATCAACAACTGCTGAAAATTGCATGTACTTCGGTGGGAACAGCCTCCCTCGTAAATATAAATACGTGGCCAGTGATTGAAAATTCCTATATTGGAAAGGCAACGAAAAGAGAAAGCAGTTCTAAACTCCTGGAGATCGCTGGTGATGCAGACAAATCTAAAAACCATGGTTACCCCTCAGTTCGCGATCCCTCCTGAATTCCAAGCAGATCTAAATTATGTTGAATCCCTTGATACCCGTTCAGACGAGGAAATCATCTCTTCCATCGATACCTATACTCCAGTGACATCAGAAGAAAAAAAATATATATGGGCTTTCTGGCACTCCGGTGTCAAATCCATGCCCGGGTGGTGCGCCCGTAATGTTGTTAGCTGGGCTCGCCTCAGTGGCCCCTCATGGACAATTCGAGAGCTTGACTCTATCCCCGATTCACCCAATTACGTGTTATAAAGTTTCTTCCCGCAAAAATGCTTCCACAGACATTCGTTAAGGGGACGATGGATGGGCCTTACACCACCGGCCAACATAGTGCGGACTTCATGCGCGGCACATGTTTGTATCTTTATGGAGGTGCATAAATGGATGTTGGTATCTTGCTTGTTCGCTCTCTTGATCGCCTCTGCTGGTCTATATTGGAAGACGAGAGCCCACCCAGGCAAATTGTCGTCCCGTGGATGTTCAGTGTAGTAATGGCAAACCACTTTGTGGTTAGCTAGCTAGCCGCAAGGGCGATCCATTTATAAAAAGGTGGCATGATCTATTTATTCACCTGTGGGAGAGCCGATCCAACCACTCCGGCATATGCAGCGATCCGCTCATTGCATTTGGTCTCGATATGGACTTCTCCGAGTCACAGCGCCACGGATACAAATATGAATTCAAAGTAGAACCCCTTACCCGTTGAGACTGTGGTTGGGTTTCGGGGCAATCTGCTTTTGATGCCCCTTCTACACCGTTAAATGCAGATCCCGAATCTCCAGAGTATAAGACTGCATACCAACTAGTGTGGCATGTGCTCACGAGTGGTAGCATGCAGAAGGTTAGTCATGCGAAACCCTTGTCATTAATACCTGCGCTTGGATATCTTTGGGATGACAACCGTGGCTCCGATTGTAAACCGGGAACGTTTGCGGATCTTCTCAGATACGGTAGTGTGCACTTTGAGCAGACGAGAAGGACTGCCTCCATTGTACAGATCGAAAAACCGAAAGATACCATGAAAAAGGGCGTGCTTGAGCCTTGAGTCACTGGATTTCTAATTGGATGCTTAGTTCTCATGAAGCGGTGGGAGTTGGAATTGAATACCTTATCAAGACTTATGGTATATAGAGCAAGATTTCCAACTCTCATTATGTAGAAAATTCAATCTTGAATTTTGTTTTCCAGTCTTTGCACATGATCCATTCCCCAACCTCAGAAGTGTGTGATCAACTCAGAATCTACTGACGGAATCAGCTATTGCATCCCATCCTGCGAGCATTCCTAATCTATTGTGGGAGACAAATAACACCTGGATGCATTAGCAAAAATATTAACTGGTCCCACTACTTCTTCTTCTTCTTCTTCTTCTTGAGTGCACACAAGCTGGACGACCATTCTAAAAGCTCAGATGATCTTGCATTTTGTCAAGCGCACTCTAAACCAACCTGACCTCAGAGCGTAAGAATTTACATACTCAACTTCTGACTAAGTAACCACTACACATAAAATACACATAAATTGCATATGCAAATATACTTTTCTTCCACACGATTCCCAGGTTTACGTGCAAAAGTAGAGGTAGGAATGGTTCAAGCGGCCCTCAGCTACATCAATAAGCTCCATTGAAGGATTTCCAGAGCCAGGTAATAGTTACAAAATCCCCAGCTGTTAGCTGACTTAATGACATCAGGAAAGGAAAAGAAACGAACAGAGATCCTCAACCCGCTCATCGAATAACCCTCGGCCTCCACTTTATCTTAAACCTCGACGTTTTCCCATTGTCATGACCTTCATCATGTCCACTATCTCCGCCGTCACCATGAAACCTCAGCTCTATGACCCTCTGCTCTGGAAATATCCTGGAAACTTCCTCATGTCCCGCCGAAACCGCAACTCGTGCTAAATCTATTGGCATCCCATCATTCTTACCTATAACATCTAATTCAGCCCCGGATCTTAGCAGCAATGGTATCAACTCAACCTGCACACGCCAGCAGGCTGCATGCAATGGTGTCCCGCCCACACGTTCGCCCCCGCTCGCGATGAATACTTTATTCCAGTTGAAGGGAGACTGAATCGAAGAATGTTGTAGTGCAACAGGAGAAGAAGGGAGGCAAGCTGGCGTTTAGCCTGGTCTGCGCTCACTGGCGCAGTGATAAGGGCCTGAGGGTCTGGAGATGAGAATTCGAAGGAGCGTTTCG